GATACGTGTATAATGAATGCCAGTTTATTTGGTTTATGGAAAACAGGCCTAGTCATAAAACCAAGCATTTAAATATTTTTTCCCAGTTGATTGCATGTTAATTACCAAGGTAACTTGGATATTGCATATCCCCTTCTTTCTGTCTTCCTCAGGCAGACAAGCCCCAGCAGTAATATGTTGAGATTTTTTTTCTATTATAACAGAATATGATAGAGTCTTCTGACAGTAAAAAGCTTAATTTTTTTTTTTTTTTACTAAATGGGTTTAAGAAAAACTCCTGAGGTCTAAGAAGCCTTAAAGTAGTTTTAATGACTGTTAAATCACCGAATTTGAGATATTCATTATACATTTTTAATTAGTAACATGAAAATAAATATAAACTCCATACCTGACAAAAGAACAATAAGTAAAGAAGGAAGGAGGATGTGCAGACAGGGAGGAGCCTTTATCACTTAGTAAAGGTCAGCCCTTGCAAATAAACTTTGTTTTAGTATAAACCAATGGATCTTTGTACATTCAAGAGCAGAAATTTAACCCAAACTGAAAAATACGATGATGAAAAGGAGTGAATCTGTACAGGACAGTGATGTTGTAGAGTAGTAACAGCCTATAAGCACAATGCTGCAGCAAAAAAAAAATAGGCTAATGTGACCCTGGATATCTAAATAGGATATAAAAATAGCCAGGACTCTTAATACATATTGTTAAAAGGAATGATTTCAGAATACTGCATGTGATCCTCTTTTTAGAAATTTAAAAAAAGAACCATAAAACCTGAACGAAAATACAGACACTTCAGAAGACAGCAACAACTCTCTTGAGGGCTGGAAGTGAGAGACTTCAAAAGCTCTCTGTGTTTGCCTTATAAATATGAACTTTGCAGTCAATAATAAAGTTCTCAGGGACAAAAAAAGCTGCCAGTTTTGCCCATTTCTGGGGGTCATCTGTAATGCCTCCCTGCCTTGCTGGAAGATACTGAAACTTTTACGTGGTACAGACGAGATGTTCCTGAATTTTAGTGCTGTCTTCAGAAATGAATGTCTGTGTATTGCTCTGCTTTCCTTGCAAATCTTTGGCTTACCCACTCTAGAGGTAACAGTGAAATGTTTAAAATGAGCACATCAAGCTGGGTAAACCAATATCAGACTGTGATTCCATGAAGTTGGCCAAAATCCTGTATTAAGGGTGTTAATTCACACATACCCTGTCTGGAGATGTGTAAAAAGAAGAAGAAAAGATAATGGTGAAATGAATATTTGGAGGGCTTTTTTCCTTGGTTGTACAGACACAATGGCAGAGTTCATCTTTAGAAGAGTATTTTGGAATGAAAATTAAAATTCCACCCTGTCAGTCCTTGGAGCTCTGCTCATTGTAATTTTAGGTAAAACAGTTTCCTTGGGACCAGGTAAAACCTCTGAAAAGATTAATTTCGGTTGTAAAGTCTAATAATAGCAGTGTAAGATAGCGTCCAGAAAAAAGGAAACTGAAGCTCAATAAGACATAATGAGTAATAATAATATATATTAAAGTATGTGCTGGGAAAAAAACCTAAACTCTTCTAAGAATGAAATGTCCAAGTAATTAAGCAATAGGCTTGCAGATGTATGTTCAAGTCTGTATATTATTATGAAAGTGTTAGAATCCCCAGTTCACTTATTTAAGAAAGGACATCCAAGTGCTAAATCTCAGTTCTTTTTATCCAAAGAGTTTTTTCAAAAGGGTCTTTGAGTTCATTTTGAATCGTGACATGACTTGGTACTGGCAGACCTAAACTCTTGTTCACTGTGCAAGTTTTAGAGCCATCACCTCAGAAAAGTGCCTGCTAAAAGTGGAGGTTGGATGTCACAAATGTCAATAACATTGCTGAGTCTCAGCCAGCGTACTCAGAGCTTTTCCGGTAAAATACTCACTGCAGTGGTTCCAGACACATTTCTGTTGCTGCTGGCAGCTAATGGCTCGTCCATAATGGACACTTTTCATTTTTTTAAGAAGGATGGAGCTTTTTATGGCATACAAAGGAGCATAAATAAGTAAATGTAGGGACAAGGGTCAATAAATATGACCTTGTGATCCCATTAGCTTTTTAGGGAATTTTCTCATTATAAGCATCATAGGAGTGGTGCCCACCATCTTTTTTTAGTCTCTTTGCATATGAATTTCCAGTTCTTTTGAAACTTTGCCTGTCCTGCAGGCAGAAGGGAAGCCCCCACTCCTGTATGTAATTCAGTGTAATTCAGATGTTTGCATGCTGGCAGTCCCTCTTAGCCTGGAGCTCTTTGGCAGAGGGATTTTCTGCCATGAGAGCTGTGAGTTGGCAGTGCCTTGGCAGTGCAGATTTGTCTGCCACCAGGGCTGTGCTGCTGGGCATAGGCTGCTTCTTAATCACCTCAGGTAAAGATAGCTTGCGTGTCTCTGTCCCACACTGAAGTCTAGCATGTAGATATCTCCAAACCTCTGAAGTGCTCAAGGATTTTATTGCTTTATCCATGTCCTCATTTGTATAGCAGACTCTGTTGAATCCACAGCTTCACTGGAGTTGGTGTTTCTTTGGCATAAGCATAAGGTTTACTTGATATTTCAGTGTTTGCACATTTTTGATTGATAATTATTTTATGTCTTATAATACAAGTGCTGTTGGAAGGACAGTCTTTTAATTTTTATGACTTTTATTTCTGACCCTGAAGGTGATACCATTCTAGTTCTGGTTAGTAGTTATTTGGTGATTTGAATTTCAGTTGGTTTGAATTTTCCAGTTCTTACAGATTTGGTAGCTACAGGTGAGAATATGTGAGCATTCAAGAGCCTTGGTATGTCAAATGTATCAAAAATTGTATTTTAACAGAACTCAATTACTCATTGGGGATCATTTGGTAAATGTATATGAGGAATATTATTAGATCATAGCTCAACTAAATCTAAACTTAATATACTTTCAGTGATGAATTTACTCTAGGTTTTTAATTTTTTTAATGTATAGCTTTGAGCCTTCAAGTAGTACTTGATTAATTCAGGCAAGGAATTAATTAATTCAGGCTCCACTGAAGAAATGAATTAGTTTTCCTTTCTGTATTTTCGGTCTTGTTCCACAGAAGTATTAATTTTTGAATACCTGGATGATGTTTATTAAATCGCAGTTTTGCTACCACAAAAATTGTAAAACTGAAATGACACTTCAAACCCTAATTAATGCTGCTCAGAGAAAAATGTATTTCTACCTGCAGGTCTGTAGGAATAGCCCTTGACAAAGAGCAAGATATAATTTGAAATTCAGCTGAAAACAAAGTACATAACAAATAGGCCTTGTTTTCTGGGGAGGGGAGAAGATGGGGGCAGAGATTGTAAGAAGAAAACAAACACCTAGGATGAAAGAAAATATTCTCAGAAACATGCTGAGCAGTTGGTCCTCTATGAAAAAGAAATGTGTAAACTCTTTTTTTGTTTTTTTTTTTTTTCCTTTGGAGGTAACAGATCCCCAGTTATGATCAACTTAAAAGTTTTACACAGCAAACTGCTGCATCAAATGTCAAGTGAGAAGATGCTTTTTTTGACTCTTCCACAAGAGCATGGTAGCCTGACACAAATAGAAAATACTATGACAGCTGTAAATCATATAAAAGACAGCAAATAATCTCAATGAGAATAGTGACCCTTTTTAAAAGTAAAATAGGGATTGTAAAAACTTATTAATTTTTACTCATATTATTCACAAAGCTTCATACAGTGAAGTGGTGAAGAAGTGGAGAGCAGAATACTCCCCTTTGTTGAATGTATTTTTAAAATGTCATTATTTCTTCACATAAACATTAAGCTTTTCTGTGGTTTATGTTGAGTATTTTACTTGCCTGTAAGTCTGTTGACGAGACAGCAAACTTCAGTTTCAGGTTAGAAGTCACCATCCATTCAAGCGCAGAGCAGCTCTAAGTGTCACTAGTACAAAAGAGAAGGGAAGATGCTGGGTCAGGTTCCCTCTAATACGGTTCCAAGTTCAGTGTCCATGCCAAGGTGCCTTTTCCATAAGGCAGAAAAACATGACCTGACTTCTGCTTCTGCTATAAACACATTAGAGAGAGCTGTACATTGATTATTTGGACAGACAAGAGGTAGAAGGTAGCACACAGCAATATAAACCCCACAAATGTGTGGATAGTAAGGCCACATTTCAAATTAATTGCTTAATTATTTTTCTCCATCATTTAACCATTCAAATAAGAGCTGAAATTAGTGGGCTGTAAGGAGGAGCTCAGCAATCAAAACACATCACTCAATAATTAAAATAAACTGCCCTGTATAATACTTAATTTTGTGTTTAAATCCTAATACAGATTTCTGAAGTTAGAGGGTCGGATGAAACAATTCCATTAGAGGGCAGTAATACCTGTGGGTAAAATGTCTCATGTGCTGTGTATATTTTGTTTAGCATCCGTGAATGGAAGTGAAAAAGGAAGTTAGTGTAATTTAACATCAAAATAATGCAGAAACATTTTGTAATATACAATAACACGCATTCTATCTTATATCAAAAAACCCAACATGAATATGACAGAAGTGATGCAAAATACGTGCAGCAGATACTGATACTGTAGTACTCCATCCAAGAGAGAAACTGAAGTTGTTTGTCTTTCTGTGTTCTCAATTTGTAAATTGAATAACTTTATTTCTGGGAAGTTTATGGGTTTCATTTAAAAAATCTTACTTTTGAAACTATGCATTTTATTAGCTTTAATGCTGCAGATTTTCCAGTTTTCCAGGCAAGGGATGGCAAGAATGTGCATGTTTGATCAGGCATCTTTTAGTGGTTAAAAATCAGTCATGTACTCTGATTTGGCTATGATTTCTGCAAAAGATTTAGGGGTTTTCATGAGTTTTGAGACCTTTTTAGGTATGAAATGAAAGCCCAAGTGAACCTGGCTAACGTGGCAAGTTCAGTCCTTCCTGTTTTAATATTTTGCTATGTCTAATCCAAGGAATACCACAAACACCATTTCTTTTTCCATTTTCAGTTGTGTTACTTGATACTACAACTGCCCTCGGAGAACTAGGATGGAAAACATTTCCCTTAAATGGGGTAAGTCTCTCACCATTTTGTTGGTTTTGGTCTGGATTTTGGCATTCTGACACTCTGTAAGTGGATATTCTTCCAATATAGACTTGTCTGAAAAATTTTAGTTTTTCTTGGGACTGGAGCTGCCTGTGTTGTGAGTAAGAATTAGAGATGCAAGAATGACATGAGTACATATTATTATGTTCCTCTTTTGCTTTTCTGAATACCAAGTATCTATCTAACTTTAAATCCAATGCTAACTGTTATGCATAATAAAATTTCATATTAAAAATTGCTATTCTGCAGGAATGTAAAAAAATACAACTCTTTTTTTTTGTGAAATAAAAGGAACAATAAGTTTCTGTTTTGCAAATTGGAACAAAAATTTTATGGTTTAAGTAAGAACCAGTATGGACTTTAGCCTTTGATAATATGGCATCAGATTGCCTAAATCAGAAAAATGAAAACATTAATAGTGTCTGTCATCCTTGGGGACAGTGAGCATGGGGTAGAGCAGCATTTTTACTCTCTAAAGTTCAACTATCAGTGCTTTGCCAGTGGCTGCACTTTCAGAACCTGTTTTTTTTTTCTTTCCACTCAGCTAATGCATGTCACAGAGTTTCAGGGGCATTTGTAAAGTAAGATGCACTATTCTGGAGCATTTAATGTGTTCTGCATCAACTTGTAGTTCTGATGTCAGTGTACATACTGTGGATCACTTATTTTTATACTAGCTTGCATTATCTCCTGATTCTTGTGTATGAGGCGTATAATTACTTGCTTCTCTGAAATGAGCTCAGAAAATACTGTTTTTCTGAGAGAAACATCTTGTTCCATTTTCAGTCATTTTATTTGCCATGTTCTGTTCCAGAAGGAAGTAGAAACTGTCTTCCCTCAGCACCTTAATAATCCATTTCTGTAAAATGCCTTCCGTGTCTTTGCCTTCAGGGATTTCAAGCCATATGACATTTCTTAATCTCAGCCTGTTTTCAACTTTATGGATTACTCTTTTTCTTTGTATTCCTAGGCATAATTTCCATCTCTCACAGATACTTCTGTGTTTTGCATTTTGTATGCAATCTCATGCAATCTGAGTTCTAATTCTGAAAGTTTTGTTTCCTTTAAAAATCCCAGACAAAGTACATACTGTCATATACCACAATGAGAAATGAATCAAGGAATTTTTGCTCTAGGAAAAAGTAAGGACTGTCATCTACCATGATGAGAAAATCCAGTGAGGAATGTTTTGCTTGAGCACTGGGATGAGCTCCATTGAAGTGCACAGTACATTTGGAAAGCACAAAAGATATAACTGCAGTTATTGTGTAAATTCTTAAAAGCTCTAGGTATGCCAAAATAGCCACAGTATGCAAACACAAAAACACGTGCATTCCAAGTTAATTTAAAACACAGCTATTATAACATGTATTTTTTGTCTCCTCATGCATACCCTAAACAATAGTTTTGCAGCCACGTGAGGGGTTTGGGTGTCTTAGGACCTCTGCTGTATATTAAGAACTGGCAGCACTTACTAGAATACATACGGAAGTTTACATTTCAGTAAGAACCTGGGATTCAGTTATTAAAATATTTCCCAAAAATGTAAAAAGTGATTTGAAAAAACAAAAGGAGCTAGAGTAAATATGGGGCAGAAAAGTGTTTTTTAGCATAAAATCATAGAATCATTTCTATTGGAAAAGACCTTTCAGATCGCTGAGTCCCACTGTTAACCCAAGACCACCGTGTTCACCACGTCCCCAAATGCCACAGTCACACACTTTTTGGACATTTCCAGGGATGGTGATTTATGTCCACAGTGCTACCTAATCTGAGTTACTCTTGCATCCTAATATAATCCAGAATATGGCACAAGCAGTGGTGTAATTGAGATCATCACTGCAGAGATAAGAATCCGTTTGGTCCCATGATGGGCACATTAGGATTTTCTTGTTTCCTGAAGGAGCGTAACAAATTTTGTATTGTTGGTGGTTTTTGAAAGAAATTTTTGTTCTGATACTATTGAAAGCTAATGTGTTACTTTAATCAAACCTTAAGTGTTTGTGTAGTGTTTATGTGTGTAAGAAAAATGTCATTGACATATGATTATTGCTCTGCTGAACATTTTTGATGTTAGGAGGATGGAATGATGTGTTTTCCTGAGCCTGTGACATTAGCAGAAGTCATTAATTTACTGGCACACTCAGTCACGAGGAATGTTTTCATTAAATTGAAGAGCAACTAAAATAATAATGCTTGGGATTTGGGTAATATTGAGTATGCCTCAGATTTTAAACTAACAGGCCAGGGTGAAGTGGGATAAAAAAATCAGGAGGTTCTTTTGCAACTTGTAGAACCTTAACCTTTGCCTCCCAGACTTTTTATTTCTAGTAGGTTCATTACATAACATTTGTAAACTTTCAACAGTTTCAGTCATCATTGAGCTGCAATGATAACTGTGTTATTCATGCCTTGGGAATATAATATGTGATTTTGTTTTAAAATTTTCTTCCCGGTTATTTGTGCATCCTTCCTGAAGTGTGAGAATGCAATGTTTTTTTCTTAAAAATGTGTTTTATTTATGTTCCAGATTTTTTTCCTTGTATTTTGAACAGGTAATAAATTTAGTGCTTAGAGCTACAAAAATGCAGCATAAAACATTAATATCTCTGAGGTCAATAGCATCAACTTTTGTTGACTGAGTTCCAGTTTAGCTTCTTAGTGATGGGCTGTCTAAAATTTCTGCCTTAATAATGGACACATCTGATACTTCCTCTGTTCTTTGGGCTGTAGTTCAAAATGACCGATTGATTTATGAAAAAGCATGCACTATGAAAGGAGATCTTTACTCACCAAACTGTCACTCCATAACCTTGAAAATACAGAACAGGGGTTTGGGGTTTTTTTGATGGGTACAAAAAATGGGAAGACACAAGTTCATGTGTTTCAGGAGAGGATGTGGATGGGAGCTTAGTGGGCAGTCTCAAGGGCATATGAAGTAAAATCCAGCAGTCTAACCAAAGTCAGTTTGCTGACCTTGGGGACTCAGTTAGGAACTGGGAAAGAAACAAAAAATATCTGAAAGTCCAACTGAAATGCAGTGTTCCATAACCTTTACATATTAGCAGTAATAGTAATAAAATAAGGCATCTTATTTAACTGCAGTTGGTGAGATATCTTCCTTCTGTCTTCAATGTAAATATATTATTTATTTCCCATTGCATTAATCATTGCAACACAATTTGGTGAGCGAAGTTTGCTCAGAAGCTGTGATTTGGGGACTATTGCCATAAAGGCATGTCCAGTCCTAATAAATTTCTGCCATAGAATTGTAAAATGGTTTGGATTGTAATGAAACTCAAAGATTGTCCAGTTTCAACTCTCTACCATGGGCAGGATGCCACAGGACCACACTGCTCAAACCTCAGACCATCCAGTCTGCCCTTGAACACTTCCAGGGATGGGGCAGCCACAGCTTTTCTGGACACCCTGTGCCAGGGCCTCAGCACCCTCACAGGAAAGCATTTCTTCCCAATATCCAATCCAAACCTCCTCTCTTTCAGTTTAGAGCCATTAGCTCTCCTCATATCACTCCATGCCCTTGTGGAAAGTCCCTCTCCAGCTCTCCTAGGGCCCCCTTTAGGCACTGGAAGGTGCTGTGAAGTCCCCCACAGCCTTCTCTTCTCCAGGCTGAACACGCCCAACTTGTGTGTAGCCACTCCAAAGATCAGTTTAAAAGGAGGGCAAGGTGACTCACAGCGCAAAGCTGTGAGACATTTACATGTGGAAAAGACTTATAAAAGCTATCTTGACTTGTCATAGTAGACACAATGTATGGCCTCAGCAGTAAAGAACCTACTAGAAGTCCTCTAAATTGTTTGACAACTCTGTCACTGAAACTACTTGAGTTTCCACAATTATTTGAACAGTTTTCTTGTCAATTGGTAATCTACCAATTAATCTATCCAGGGAAATAATTCTGGTTTGAATATCTTGTTTCTATAGAGGATTTTAATTCTTTTTAATAACAATTGCTAATATACAGTATTATTGATCTTCCTGTGTTGTGAATTTTTTGAGACTAATCTTGTCAAAGCACTGATGTTTTTCTCCTTACCAGACTGTTTATATTACCCTCTCTGTTAAAATAATTGTTTTACAGTAAATGCATTCATCAACAATTTTTTTAGCTGATTTTTAGCTGATTAGGAGACATTTTTGTAGTTTATGGTAACAAGAGTTTTGAATGGCTTGGTTGTTTGTCACAGATGGCACTGATGTTTTCCTGTGCCAGCCTGTAAACATTTCTTTCAATGCAGCTGCATCCATTTTCACCTCCATCTTTTAAATATCTCAGAAAGTGATGGGGGGACTATCTCTTGGAACATTCTTCTACAATACTTAGCATTTTTAACTATTCATTTCCTTAAGCAGACTGTCTTTGAACTGTATTTATAGACGTAAGGAAGTTTATATACTTAATACCAATTTCCTAAATAAAACAATGGTGTTTTCTCAGCACTGTTTTGGTCACCAGTATAAACATCACACCAAAGGGCAGCTGGAAAGAAATTAACTCTGTCCCAGAGAGACACAGTAAACATAATTAAAATTCAAGTTGTGTGAAAGTTACCAGGATAAAGCAGCAATACTATAAAAAGACTTCTGTCTGAAAGTATTTCACTTTTCTTCCAAACAAATCGTAGAATCATTTGGGTAGGAAATGATTTGGATCACTGAGTCTGACTGCAGATAACCCTGCCGAGTCCCTCACTAGGCCATGTCCATAAGGGCCACATTGACTTGTCTTCACACATCTCCAGGGCTGAGGACTCAACTGCATCCCTGGACAGCCTGTTCCAATGCTTGGTAACCTTTGCCATGAAAAAAAAAAAATCCTAATATCCAAAAGTCTAAGTTCCTTTACCCCTACAGCAGTTCAACTGTGGTAAAGTTACATCTGTGTGGGGAGATGTTGCAGAAGTAGCAAGTTCTTCTATCTAAGAACTTCGGAGGGAAAAAAAAAA